GGGAAGGACCCGGGGCTGGAGGGGAGGACCCCGGGATGGTGGGTGAGGCCGTCCGAGGGAGGCCGAGGGCCGGGCTGCGGATGTGCGGAGTCTGTGGGCTGGCCCCCTCCCCTCTCTGAGCCTCCTGCCCTCGTTGTGAATGGGAACCACAGTCCCCTAGACTTGCCAGGTAGAGCACACCCCGATACATGTGAATTTCAGATAAACGGCGCTGTGTCTGGGGGGTGAAGGGTGGGGAACCCAGAGCTGGTCTGGGAAGAAACCCTTGACGGAGCTTCCCCGAAAGCCCACCACCCACCACTGATGTTCACCGCATTAGTCCCCTGGGAGGGAGGCCGCGTGAGGTGGGCCCCTATTCATCCTTGGTTCGATGCCCCAGTCCTTTGGAGCCAAGGTTATGGAGGGCTGTCTGTTGGAGGCCTTACCTCCTGGGTCCGTCCCCTCCCCCCAGGAATGTCAGGCCCGCGTTGTGCTAAGGAATGCACCTTTGTTCTGAGCAGAGTCCTTCCACTTTGTCAGCTTCTCAAAGGCCTGGACCCTGGGAAGATCCCCGGCCTGGGTCGGGGTGGGGCTGGACAGCCCTGCGGCCACCTCAGACACCACATGCCTGACTGATAGGAGGGACTGTAGGAGGTGGCCCTGAATCCACAGATGCCAACACAGGGGCTCTGCTGGCCTGTGCTGGAGGGGCTGAGGGTGGGCAAGCCCCAGGCGTCCTGCCCCCAGTCCAGCCTGTTTCTCCCCAGGTCGCAGGTCCTGCCAGAGGGGTGCCGCCTGAATGTCACCTGCCCAGATGGCAGCCCGTGTGAGGGTGGGCCTCAGGGTGCCAACTGCAGCTGCCAGGAGGGCTTTGCTGGCCAGAGGTGGGTTTGGGGCGGGGCCTGGAGAGCGGCCGGTGAGTGTGGAGAGCTGGGCAGGGTGGGTAGACTGGGGTACTCACCGTCTGAGTCCTCACTGTCATCACATGCCTGACAGCCCCCTCGGTCACTTTCTGGGGCTTCCACCCTCTGCTCTGCAGACCCCTGCAGGGAAGGGGTGGCCTGGTGGTGTTTCTTGGAGGCCCTTGCACAGGCCACCTGCGCCAGGACCGCCTGGGAGGCTGTAAAGATGCAGGTTCTGGGCCCGCTGCAGACGGAGTCAGCATCCCCGGGCCTTTGCACAGGCTCTCCTGTGCTTCTGGTGGAGTGAGCCCTTCTCAGTCATGAATGCGGGGGCAGAGGTGGTGGGCAGTGATGGAGATCATGTGCAGCCTCGGCACTGGGCGGGGCCCAGCCAGGCGGGGACAGTGAATGGATGAGCTTCGGTGCCTGGGAAGGGGGTTTGAGGAGCTAAAGGTGGCAGCTGGGGGAACAAGAGACAGCAGGGAGGAAGCAGGTTCCTCCCCTACCCTCTTCTCTGCCTCCCAGGTGTCAGCTCTCCTGTGAAGCCAACCCCTGCCTGAATGGGGGCACCTGCCGGGTGGCTGCTGGGGCGTACGAATGTGTCTGCAGCGCAAGGTTCTCGGGCCAGTTCTGTGAAGTGGTGGTGAGTTGTGCCAGAGGGTGTGGGGTTTTGGACTTTATTAGCTGATGTGGTGAAGG